GCGGCTTATGGCCGGGGAGGGTGGGTAAATAAAACCCTCCAGGGAAAGGACATTGTGGAATGTCCACATTTAAGAGTTGGGGAGAGAAAAATTATTCAGAGACTAGGAATAAGAAGAATCAGAGACAGGGAGGTCATGTCACGAAAGGCAAAGGGAGGCACTTTGAGTTTGAATCTGAAGAAAATGGTCAGAAGCATCATGTGTAATTGTGTAATTATATAAAAAATGTGTACATCTCTATTAACGAAACATACTGAAGTACTTATAGGTGAGGTCTGGGGTGTCTTTAAAATACTCTGAGGGGAGGGCGTGTGTTGGGAGAAGCTGAAGAAACAAGTTTGGCAAAATGCTGATAATTGCTGATGCTGGGTGATGGGCACATAAGGATTCTACTTTTGCACATGTGTGTGTGTTTTAAAAGGATCATGCACTGCAGAGGTTGAGAAGAGAGGGCAGGGACCACCGCTGGTATTTCCAGCACATGATACAGCATCTGGCACCTAAGAGATGCCAAATACATCCTGACTAAGGTGGTGCTACGCACACCCTCAGGGATGGCTGTCTCTAAAGATCTTGAGACAGCAGACTCAGGGGAGCTGTGGGGGCTGAGAAATATGTGGGAAGTGAGGAAATGGAATCAGTGAACACCAGGCCAATATCTAAGCACGTTTCTTTTTCCCAAGGTAGAACCCAGCTTGTGAGCCATCCAGCCCCATTCTATCTTCCTACAAGCGACAGATTTGACTGCTCCCACCCCCCTCTCCGGCTTCGGATTCCCACTCAGTTCCCTGTGTTCCCCTCCTTTCATTATCTAGTAAAGGCCGCTGAGGCAAATGGCCCTTTTCAAAGGCATATTGGAGCACACTTTACTATCGTCCAACGAACAAGCCATCTCTTTCTCGCTTTTCTCCTCTCCTGCAGAAGAACAAAGTTGCATTTAAAAGGAGAAACAGTCTCAGGTTTTGTCTCCCAAACAGAGAGAAGGTCCCAGGGGCTGGGACTCAGAACACAGAGTGGCTGATTCCCCAGCATCGCTCATGCCGACAGTGAAGGAGGTGTGGAGGGACATGACAGACAAAGCCCAAGGACAAGCCTGACAGCAGAGACAGGGCGGCCGTGTCGTTCTGGGTCCCATGGCCTGGAGAGCGCTGAGCAGCTATCGAATTCTGCTCAACCACACTGTGTAGCCTCTATCTTTCTCTAGAGTTTCCACGGTACTGACTTCTCTGCCAATGCCCCATAAATAACAATGGCCACCAAAGATAGCTCAGACTGTGCTTCCTTTCCCGGTATTGGCGTCTCCTGGCTCAGCTCAGGACAGGGAGATGAGTGGGCTGCCCCAGAATTCAGTACTACAGTTAAGCTGGGTTTCAGGAAGGTGGCCAGCCAGCCAAACCACAGGGCTCCATTTTTATGCTTTAAGCTATCCCTAGAAACAAAACACTTTATTGTCTCTTACGGTATAAGTTAATTTGACCTATAGGTAGCAATTTCTGTATAAAAAGGAAAAGTTAAAAAGAGAAAAAAAGGGTCTAGCCACATGTATCATTGTGCGGGCAAGGGCCTTCCTCTTGTCTTGATCACCCCTGTGTCCCTGCTGCCTAGACTTGTGCCTGGCACACAACCCATGGACACCTAGCTTGGTAAATATTTGCACAAAATAGGATGAATTCTGTTTTAACAATGACTTTCTCACCTCTCCAAGCAACAGTGATTATCTCCCCTTTTTTCCCCACTCGAAAAGCATCTTGTGTCTCACAACTGGCAGGCATGATACAGAACTCTTCAAGGACAGCTGGCTGCCTCGAAGTGTCCAGGGGAGCACCTCTCATGATCTTCCAGAGCACACAGCATAGCGTAGGGCCAGCTTTCAGATGGGATTCAACTGGCCTGCAGAGGTAGCCTGGGCCTGGAAAGTGACAGTGTCCTCTTTCTCAATGGAGGAACTATGGGTGATCAATCTCTGCTCCTAATACCCAGCAGAAGTACTGTCCATGGGAGATTCTCAAATAAATGATGGACAGATGGGTGGCAGGTTATTCTATCACCCTGAGTGGCTAGCTACTGATCTGCTCATTCAATAAATATTTATTGAACACCTCTATTTGCCAGACATTGTCCTGCATACTACGAACAGAGCAATGGAAGAAATAGATTCAATCTCTGCTCTCATGGCCTTCACAGTCTAATGGGGGAAGAGGTGGGGGATAGAGAGCAAAGGATGGTTAGAGGTAAAAAGAAAAGTGGAGGTAAGAGGCGTGCCACTAAGAGAGGGACAGATCCTAGGCCAGAGGGGTCAGGCCCAACTTCTCTACAAACAGGACTATAAACACAGATCTAAAGTGGGGATTTGGAGCCCTGGCAGGTTTGGCTCAGCGATTAGAGTGTTGGCCCATGAACCAGAGAGTCCTGGGTTCAGTACGCTAAGGGCATGTACCTAGGTTGCAGTTTGTCCCTGGCCCCGGTTGGGGTTTTGTGGGTGGCAACCAGTCGATGTGTCTCTCTCACATTGATGTTTCTCTCTCTTTTCCTTCCTCTCTCCCTCCTGCTCGAAAGAAATAAAGAAAGAAAGAAAGAAAGAAAGAAAGAAAGAAAGAAAGAAAGAAAGAAAGAAAGAAAGAAAGAAAGAAAAAAAGAAAGAAAAGAAAGTTAAAAAAATAAAAAATAAAGTGGGGATTTGGAGAGGAGAGGAGTTCCACAGGTAGGAAAGAGCATGGAGCCGAGGCAGCTGGTGTGCAGTGGTATGATGGAGGGGGGAGAGAACAGATCCTGCAGGGCCCAGTGAACCTCCAGATTCGATCCCGAGGGCAAAAGATCCAAAGCATTACTTCAAGCAGGGCTCCCTGTGGAGAGCAGATTGGAGGGGCCAGGGGTTGTTGCTCAAACTTCAGCATTGGCGCCTGGGCCACAGTGGTTCTCTGCTGGTGCCTCAGAAGCTGGAGCACTGGTTATGCTCCTGCAAACGGACAATAAGGCTGCTTCAAGAGAGTCAGGGGAACCTCAGGGCTTCCTGAGATGAAAAGCTACAGCGTGGGCCTTTCCAGGCCTGTCTGTGGTAAAGAACAGAAGGGCTGCCTGTTTACCTTCCACATCCGGCCCCAGAGGCCCCGCGTAGGTGGAAGGCTTCCCAGAGAGAAGGGCACAGTGGTGTTCCGCAGGACACATAATACCTCCTCTAGCCTCCTCAGAGGCACCATAGGCCCACTGGCCTCCCTCTGCAAAGTCTCCAGCCCACTTGCAGGACACTACTGAACAAGGCATTCAGCCTCTCCTGGCTTACCTTTATTACCCAGCAATGACCAGACTGTGCCCCTAAATCACATAGGCTCCATCCATCACCTTGTGTCTGAGATAATCAGGATGAGTAAGAGATTGCTGCCTCTCTCTAAGAAGCTTGCTTCCTAGACCCCTTAAATGTTTCAGATGTACATAACTAGCCAGTTGAACTTGCTAGAACTCAGGGTCAATATTCAAAGAGCAGCTGGCTGCAAACTTAAACATCATAAGACTCTAAGCTCTAAACATCGTAAGACTCTAAACATCTAAGCTCTAATACTTTAGTTCTTTGACTGCAATTTCCTGGTTGAAGGAAGGTTCCCAATCCTCATTCCCCCAACCAATCACTCCTATTAGGACTCCAGACCCCACAGGATGAGACCTCGTAAGACCTCTTCCCCACCCTCAGTAGACAGAGTAATAATTAAAACAGCCACCATGTACTAATCTCTGCAAAGTGCCAGATGCATCACTTCACTGAGTCCTGGCATAGATATATTTTATTTTATTATTTTTTTTGGTACGTGCCCCTAGCGGAAACCGAACCCAGGACTCTGGTCCACAGGTCGACATTCCAACTACTGAGCCAAACCGGCCAGGGCCTGGCATAGATATATCAATGACCCTGTTTTGTGATGAGGCTTTCTTGCTCAAGGTCTCTCAGGCGGTAGGTACTGGGCTAGGATCAGCACCATGAACCTCCTTGGCTTCATGATCTGTGTTCATGAGAAGCCAAGTCTACAGCCTCCATTGCAGGAGAGCCTGAGAACACATGCGGGTCCAGCTGCAGCCTCTGTGTGTCCAGGCCATGCACCTCGGCGGGTGTCCAGGCCCTTTTCTCTCCCTGCTGAGGCCTCTCTGCTGGGTGATGAAGAGCTGGGTCCATCCATCTGACCTTTCATCAGGAAACCCTCTGGTAGCGGCTGAAACCTCTGCCCAGCACCTCATCAGCCAAAGTGCACATGATAGAAAGATGGACTTGATTGAGCCCTTCTGATAGCTGGAGGCCTCTGCTGTCAGCCACAAAGAATGGGCTTGAGACTTTCACAAAGATCCTCCCTCTTGAGAGAAATTTCTAGGCTTATTAAAAAGCAACGATGTTGAGAAGGCAACACGCAAGCCAGGTTGGCCAAACTCTCACCATATGCTTTTCAGACCTGAATTCACTCCTTGGCTAGTTTCAGACCTTCAATTTCAAAAATATCTAGTTTATGCTTGTCGACAAAGGAATGTAGCTGGGCACCTCCCACCAGCAACACAGAAAACAACTCCCACTGCCATCACCTGTTCTTTGAGATGAAGCCATATATAGGCAGACTGAACCCAGAAGGTTTGGTCGGAGAGCCAAGTCAACACCCCAACTTCACAACACTGCTTAGACAGGTTCCCCCCAGAGGTGTCGCTCAGTGAGAGGAAGGTAAAATACCCATGGGCTGGCATGACTAGGCTGCTAAAGTAGGGATACCACCACCTCTGTCCCCTCCCATCCTACAGGACCCAAATCATAGGCATTAAGATGCTCTCCCATCCCTGAAGTCCAAGGAGCACTGAGAGCCCTGAGTCTTACTACTAGGGGCGGGAAGTGAGAGAGAACCAATAGCTCAGCCTTGACATAGGAGAAATAATCTAAAAGGAGAAGAGTACAGGCTGATTCTTGGTTCTGTCGTTTACTGGCTGAATGAGCTTGGGCAAGTCATATAACCTCTCTGAATCTGTTTACTCACCTGTAAGATGAGGGAGGATAAAAACACAAGGCTGATGTGAGGATAAACTGAAGGAATAGAGGGAAGAGTGCTATCGCTTTATGAGCTGTCACAGGATCTGTCCCAGCATCAGAAAAGGACACACTCCCACTGTGGTTTCACGTGACTGGGAGTGCAGTAAGGGCAAGGCTGGTTCTGTCTGTCCTCTCCACAGCTGTGTATATATACCCAGTGCCTAGAACAGTAACTGGAACAAAATAAATGTTTGTAGAATCCATGCTTTCTTGTTGCATTTAGAATAAAATCCAGTCCTCACTGGAGCTTTGCTCTGGCTGTGCTCACCTTTTTTACCTCATCTCACACCGCCCTCCCCACTCTGCACCAACTTCTAGTTCTGTCTTCCCACGCTCCTCAGGACTCCTGCCTGGGATGCTCCTCTCCCAGACCTGCTCCTGCTTACCCTCCACCAGGTCCCATTTCACTGTCACCATTTCAAAAAGAGCTCCCATAATGGCTCTTACCCAATCTACACCAAGTTCCCCACTTCACCCTCTTAAAGAGCTCTGCTCTTTTCCTTCATAATTTGGAACACTATATACTTGGGATTTTTGTTGTCATTGCTGGTTGATGCCTCTCTTCCCCTCTGGGCTGTAAGCTTCATGAAAATAGGAACACCTATTTTGTTCACATCTCTCTAATTGGTACCTTGTTTATATCACATACTGGATAACTGCTCTATAAATGTTGGATGGATGGATGACCCCATCTTCTCCGTTAATCATGCTGGGATCCCTTATTAAACAATGGTGAGAGAGCTTCTCCTCCTTATCAAACTGTTGCTCTACCTCTCCCTTCCCCTCCATAATTCATTTCCTTCCTCCTCCATTCATTCCAAATCCACCCAAAGGGATGCAGATCAAAACATAGAACCTCATGTAACAAACACCCCTGTGTAGCCCATATGGCTGGCAGTTCCCACTTATAAGAACTCCTGCTGCTCTGGTCTCTACCCTAATGAACCACAGGCTGCCAATCTGTGGAAAGACAGAAACTTTCTCATCCTAATCACTCTGGCAAAGTGCCAGCCCAGCTGGCATAAGGGGACAGGCTAGACTGATGATAGTCTCCACTGCCCAGCTGTTTTTCTGAGTGAAAGCCCTTTCCCTTGCAGAGTTTCCATCCACGAGAGGCAGTGAGCAATGCAAAGCATTACAACCATTTTTCCTCCAGCTATTTCTAGGCATAAATAACATCTAAGGACTCAAGGCCAGCTTGAGAAAACAATTGGGCCAGGAAATACTCAAACCAGTGCAGAGGCAACATAGCCCCCAAAAAGTTAAAGCTGAGGGCGATGCCTTTATGGAGAGTTTCCTAACTTTTCCCAGAGAGACAGCTCCAAATGCAAAGTTTGATAAGCACTCTTTTCTGAGACAATTAATCCCATTAATATGGGGCTCAATTAGAGCTTAGAAAAAATAAATAAATAACATGAATTTTTCAGAGTAAGTGTTGTTATTTTCCCTGAAAACAACTTGAGCCCAACTGGTGTGGCTCAGTGGTTGAGTGTCGACCCATGCACCAGGAGGTCACTGGTTGGATTCCCGGTCAGGGCACATGCCTAGATTGTAGGCTGATCCCTAGTGGGGGCATGTAGGAAGCAGCCGATCGATGTTCTCTTTCATCAATGTTTTTCTTTTTCTCTCTGTCCCGTCCTCTCTCTCTCTCTTTCTCTAAAAATCAATTTAAAAATATATATATATTTTAAAAGTCAGTAACTTTATTGCACACCTAGTATATCCCATTTTTCTGAAACCCATAAACTCTTCCCCTCATAATTAGTGCTATATTCTCACCTATCTACATAGATCTTAAAATTGGTCTCTTTCACAAAACCTGGATTACCAATATCTTCCAGAAGTCAAACTGAAGTGGCCAATCCTAAACGAGTATTTCTGTGCATCTGCCACTTGGGGGCAAATTGTGAACTGGAGTGAATTTTGAAGGCTGGCATTGTTCACTAGGTCACTACTGTGTGTGCAGAATAGCCGCCTTTGTAGAAAGTGTTCTTTGGAGCCTTCTAAAACAAAAACAAAAAAACTTTCCACTATTTTTGTTCACAGGAACATGGAGCCAGATCCTAAAAATATGTATATGTTGAGAGGAATTCTGGGGAGTCAACTCAGTTATGGTAATGCAAAAAGGGGCAAGTCCAGAGATGGAAAACCACAGATAAGGCAACCTCCTTGTCACTGCTACTCACTTCAATGAACTTTTATCAGAGCTGTCACCAAGGAGCAAAAGAATATGGATTTTCTCCTCAGTAAAAGGACAGGCAACAGCAATTCAGCAAAGAAGGAAAGAACTAAAAAGGAGAGGCAGAGACAGGATCAAAACTATATAAATATTCAAGGTCAGAGATCATAAAGGGGTAGTTCTTGGAGCCAAATAGGTTCCCATTTTGTATGGCTTGTAGGTTTTTCTAAAAATTTTTAAATCCTCACCCGAGGACATTTTTGCATTTATCTTCAGATAGAGTGGGAGGGAGAGAGAGTGAAACATCGATGTGAGAGAGACACATCGACTGGCTGCCACCCACACGACCCCAACCAGGCCTGGGGACAAACTGCAACAGAGGTACGTGCCCTCAGTGGGAACCGAACCCAGGTCCCGCTAGTCCGCGGACCAATGCTCTAACAACTGAGTCAAACTGGCCAGGGCATTTTTTTTTTAAGTTGAATTAATTGTCCCATAAAACCCTGGGTTCCAAATTCTAGGAAAAGAAGTCCCAGTCATTCATCCCTACCTGGCCATGATCAACTGAAACGGAATAGTAGTGGCTGCCCTGTCCCCACCCAGGCTACTTCAATGGTTTTTGTTACCTATAATAATCCAGGACAATAGTTCCTCAGAGCTCCAGAAGAAAACCAGGAGAGCTCCCATCCATTCCCCTCACAATGGCCAGGATTACAGGACCACCCATGGAGCTCTATTCCTCATTATTCCTGAAAGAGGAAGGAGGGTGGAGATGCCCCAACTCAGCTTCTGGCCTCTTTTGACTGCATCCCCCGATGCTCCTGTGTTCCCACATGCAGCCTAAAATCCCAGGTGGGTGTGGAAAACGTTATGTGGTCCCCAACTTCCCTGAGTGGAAACACCAAATTTCCTGGGGGACCTAGGAGACACTCTTTCCAGGCACCCTATCCAAAGGTGGGGCTGGGAAGTTGAGACAGGGCAAATGGAGGAGCAAGGCACGGTCAGGAAAACGTGAGAAACGCCAGATATACTGGCTCTGAAGGGCCCTGAAAGAACGACCCCCTTCAGCTGCCAACACTTTCCAATTTGGTGCTAAGAGTGAACAGCTATTTCCACTAAAGATCAGAAAAGCACTCAAGTTTCCACACATTGAAGACTGAGCCTAGAGATTTTTGGCTGGACTGCAACTGCCCCTCCCTCTTTCTCTCAACTCTTGCTTCAAGCTACCTAATAAGCACATGAGCCAGCATTCCAAGAACGATTTCCAAAATGTCCCCAAAAACAAAAACCCAGGACGTGTCAGCCCTGGTACTATTATCAGCCAATCAAAAGTGTTGTTAGCTCTGGCCCGTGTGGTTCAGTGGTTAGAGTGTTGGCCCGCACACCAAAAGGTCACAGGTTTGATTCCCAGTCAAGGGCATGTGAGGGAGGCAACCAATCAATGTGTGTCTCTCTCACATTAATGTATTGATGTTTGTCTTTCTCTCTCCTCCCCTCTCCTCCCTCCTTCTCTCCCTTCCACTCTCTGAAAATAAATGGAAAAATATCCTCGGGTGAGGGTTAAAAAAAAAAAAAAAGTGGTGCTAACTTCAACTTCCTGAGGCCACACAAGGCTCCACTTCCTGGCACTTACCACAAAAACATGGCTCCAAGTGCACAAACAGCTCCTTAATCAAGCAGCAGCTCGAGCAATCCAAGGGCAACCAACCATCTTTCCAGGCAATGGCGGTTCCCGAACCATGATCTCCACTAGCTCCTTCCCAGCAGATAACTACTCAATCTAAGTAAAAAGTAGCATGCTTGCAGCTTCTAGACTATCCTTTACCCATCCACTTGAGACCAGACTGAGCCACCTAAGCTTTTCCCACATGGAAATTCTAGATGCCACTGATGGGGGGTACCTGTAAGGTCTGGTGTCCTGGACCAGAAGATTCATCCTTCTTGCCTAGATCTGTCATTTCTTTCCAGCAACATGTCCCAAGCCAGGACAGTTTTAAGAAAAGCTGATCTCAAGGTGACTCTGCAGCTATGGAGAGCTTATGAAATCACACATCAAGAACCAAACACTCAGGGCTCATCTGCAAGTCGACTTATAAGAGAGACTTCTGAATACCCGAGCTCCTAGACACACAGGTCACGTTGGAAAGATCCTTTCCGAACCCAGGGAAGCAATGTCAACGGCCCTATTTTAGTTAAACTGTAAGCAGTTAACCAAAGACCATATTCACATCTACATGTCACCCTAAATATCTGGTTCACTTCCATCATTCCATCTGCATCTTCACAATGTAACTGCTGAGGACAAGAGCTACATTGGTTTTCTTTCTTACTGTATCTCTAAGACTAAGTGTCCGGGTAAATGTCAGTTGAAGGGATGGGGTGGATGCGGGGGGAATACTAACATCACAGGATGTGCACCACAGGAAACTTACAGAGCTCTCCTATTTAATCCTCACACTTCTAAAGCTATTGGGGTGCTTTTTAAGGAGAGGAGGGTGCAGGAAACACTCTCAACTGTATCCTGATCCTGCATTAGCATTTCATCAAGAAACTGGACTGTGCAAAGCATGAAATGAGACACCGCATTATACCCCATCTGAGTAAATTACCCATGATTTATTTGGAATTCTAATGAACAGGCACCTCAAAAGACATAACTCTCCTTAACCAGGCCTGGATCTTCTTATGACTGCCTTCTGTCATATAAATAGTAAGCCAGTTTGCATATTTTGCATTAATGTCTTCATGCAGGGCTGGTTCGAGTTTATTTTTGTTGCTTTCATTTTAAGACTGTGTTTATGCTTCTCTGTTAGACTTCCAGCCAGATGACAAGATGCAAAGTTTGTCCTTTTTTCAAAGATGCTCCAGACGGTTCCTGGAGGCACATGAAAAGATTAACAACTCAGAGACGCCAATTCACTGGCACTGGTAAGTTTTCCAAATGGTTTTGTGGAAGAAACAGATACATTAAACTAGTCCCGTGCCTTAGTTTCCACTCTTCTTAACGATGGGGCCTCTCATCCTCCAGAGCAGGAGGCGGCTACCTAGTGCCTAACTTAGCACCCTGCCTTGTGGGTCATAAATCCCAGACTGTAACAGCCAGTTACCCAAGAAAGTAAGTGGGAAATGTCTCAGAAAAGGCTGTCTCTGAAAAAGCAGCAGCATTTTGAGGAGCAAAAATAGTAAGAGGGAATTTTTTTAAACTTGGAAAAACAACAAAAGTTGAACCTAGCTAAGAATATTTCCAAGACCCTCAACTTATGATTTCTCTTCTGCCCAGCTTTTCAATTGAGTTGCCTCTTCCAGAGAGGACTAAACACTCGTATTCACGCTTTTTAAAAAAAAATCCCACTAACCCTCTTCCCCCAAGGCCATGCTTGGCAGTGACAGCTTTGAACAATGACATCATCCCAGGTTTGCCTCCTTGGCAGGGTCACCAATATTGTTTGCAGTGAATTTCCTGTAAAGGCTCTTAAGGCAGGAAACTAGTCCTGTGCCGAGTCCTCCGCCTGTTCTGAGCCATCCTGTCAAGTTGAAACAAAGACTTTTTGTGTTTTCCTTTTAAAAATACAAAACTTCCCTGCACTTTTAACAAGCACCTTAATTACAGCTATAGAATTAGATATATTTACGGATGACCTCATGCCTGCTGATAATTAGCAATTTGAAAAACCTGGCCCATCTTTAGATGGTTCCTTCTCCTTCACCCCCTCCCTGAGTGTTCAGGTTAATTACTAAACTCCACCTTCCAAAACAAGCAGGTCTGGCTAGTCAGCATCCCTCCCCCAGGGCTCCCCAGCTGAGAGGGGCTTGTTCCTCCTTCTCCCAAGTAGAGAATGGAGACTCCCCACAGGAGAGGGCTGATGTGCATGGGATAACGATGCAGGCAGGAGATGTGACAGGTTTCAGGGCCCCACTTTAAGTGTTGACACATTTTAATTAGCACCCGGGCTAATTTAGCCCTGTCACAATCAAAGGGAGGAACACCGATCATCTCAGAAGCAGAAAGTGTTTGGATTTGCTGGATCCCAGTTGCAAGGAAGGAAGATCTCGCCAAGCAGATTCCCAGGCGGACTCCTGATGTGTGTGCTGAGTACTCCTGGTCTGCAGAATCCCAACTGGAGGTGCAAGCAGCCTTGGGCTGTTCCTTTCCTTTCCATGCACTTTTCTTTCTGTGCGAGAGGGGTAGCAACCACAACCCCTGTAGCCCTCCCATAGGGTCCTGCCTGCTGCCGACAATGGGCAGCTCCTGAAAATGGATGCCCCCTTCAACCTCAACACCAATCAGTTGTCACTCCCTTGTAACATTTTCCAAATTTGCTTCGGCCTGCCGCATTAGGGGAGAGGCTGGGAGGTGGACATTCTCCTCATTCTTTTGCCTTATTAGGTTGTGGATTTGATTGCTTTTGGGGGGATAGAGACTAAGATGAGGAATGGCATCAGGAAGTGACCCCGGGAAGGGGGGGCGGTCAGGAGGAAGGCGGAAGAGGCTGAAGCAGTAGGCATGAGAAGTACTAGGGAAGGAGGCCTGGCTCCACAAAACCCAGAAGGTCCCCCTTTCCAGGTTAACAGCTAGGCACAGGCTCCTGCACACCTCAAGGCCCCGAATGACAGCATTTTGGAACAGTTATTCTTGGGGTTATCAGTGGGAAGGCCTTCCTGTTTCCACATCATTATCAACCGAGAGAAGGCAGTCTGGCTTGAGGCCATAGGTTGTTTCTAACTTGAATAAGTTTTTTTGTTTGCTTGTTCTTGCTTTGGGGGAAAGGAAAAGAAGGGGAACAGAGGAAGAGCCCCCCAGCTGATCCCAAATTTAATAACAGGCTGAGTTACTCATGAAAGAACTTAGCCAGCACTGCCTATGGCTCATCCAGACACAAAACTGTTCAGGGCTTGCAACTCTGAAACAAGCCACCTCCCAGGTAATGAGGCCCAGATGGATGCAGAGGCTGGGGAGAGGGCAATGTTATGTCACTTGCAGCTCAAGTGCCAGCTGCCACTCGACAAAGGCTGCTTCTTTGAAGCTGCTGGTTGAATTTGGGGTTCAGAGCTCCCTGGGGGAGGACTTCAGGAAAGGAGGATACGGTCTGGCTTTCTAGTGAGCTGCACATTTCAGCGGACCCTTTCAACTCTTCTAAGGAGAAAGCTCAAGCAGCAGATCCCAGGTGGACACGGGTTGGTGAGCTACTGAAAACATTTTGAGAAGCTACATTTATTGAGCACTGACAATGTGCCAGGCACAGTGCAAGTGCTTCACACACATCGTTTATCTCATTTAATCCCAGAATCATCCTGTGAAGTAGGATAATGGCTCTTTTCAAGGGACACTGAGAGTTAAGTCCTGCCGTGTTCCCAGGGCCAGCAGGTGGAGGAGATGAGTAAGGAGCCCAAGTCTGTCTCCCTCTAAAGGCTGTGCTCTGACTCCAGCCCTCTTCCCACAACATGCCTTTCACTACCTTCTGATTCTGTCACCAGAAGCACCCTCCCACAGGAGCTTCAGGACTCTCAACACCCCCTCCCAGGTTGCAGCTGCTTGGGCCAAGAGACAGCCTGAATCCCAGGGATATCTGAGCCGCCTCCTATCGTCTGGTGGGTAGGCTGGGTGCTATCGGCTAACCCACTGGCTGAGCAGGTGTGTCCTCCCAGCACCTTGTTCATGCAAGAAACTTTCTGACCTGAAATATTCTGCAATGTCTCCCTCAGAAACCTCTCTCAAAATGTGGGTAGAGCAATACACCTTCCTAACACCTCTACCTTTCAAAGGGGTGGAAAGAAGCAGTTCAGGATCATCATACAGACCCTGTCTGGAAGACACAACAAATTGCAAAAGGAAACAGAAACGGGCTGTGCTAATATCCTGCAGCTCTCTCCCTAACGCACAGGCAGGGCTCCAATGCCCAAGCTACGGAGACTGGTTCTTTCCAGGAAACACTTGCTATTCTCTCCATCCCCACCAAAACCTTCCAGGGCAAACCTACTGGCCTCGGGCAGCCTAAGAGATGGAGGCCAGGTTCTCCTGGATGATTTCAGCCACTACTTTACCTGCATGAGCTGAGCTATGTCATGGCTCTCAAGCATCACCTATGGGAGGAAAAAAATACCCTGAAACCACACAAAGAAAAAGGCATGAACCAGCACCCCAGCCTTATCTCACAGTAGGGCTTGAATTCAACTCAAGTATGTCAATTTTGGGAAAGTGTATCAAGGGCACTGCAGTATTTGAGTCACAAATTTGGCCAAGAGCATCTATCTGAATGAGTGTTTTTTTTTTTTTTTTTCTTTTCCAAACACACAAGCCAGCTCTAAGGCATTTATTAAGAAAAAGAATAGCACCTGAAAGCTGAACTTGGCAGGCAAGAATAAACTCTCAAGGCAGAACACTTGTAGGCTACCCTCATTCCAAGGACAGCATGTTAACTGTGGCACACCAAACCAGCCAGCCTGTTGGGAGTCAACCCCATTCATTTCTGTGATCTCAGTACAGGTCTACTGGTCTCCGCTTTGGGTGGACTAGGGGGCAGTGGCAGCTTCACACACCAGAAGAGCCATAGGCAAAAAGCTTGGAGAGACCCTTGAGCATAAGAAGGGAGTATCTCTGTTCCTCTTCCTCTGAAGCCTGTGCTTATTTTGAAGGGACCATCAGCGAGCTGAAAGCAAATGCCTTAAAAGTATCTGTCGGCGCAGACTCCCAGCCACCAAGGAAGGTGTCTGACCTTCCCACTATAGCCGTGGAAGTAAGAGGACCTATGAATGGATTTGGAGTCAGAACCTGGGGTCTTACTATTCAGAGGTTCCAAGGCATGGCTAAAAAATACCCAACATAGTGCCCTGGCCAGTTTGGCTCAGTAGTTAGAGCATCAGCCTGTGGACCAGAGAGTCCCGGGTAAGAGCATGTACCTTGGTTGCAGTTTGTCCCGACCCCGGTTGGAGTCGTGAGGGTGGCAACAACTCGATGTGTCTCTCTCACATTGATATTTCTCTCCCCTCCCTCCCTCCCTCACTCCCTTAATGCTCACAAACTTATGCAACAGAAACTGTGTTCGTGCCCATTTTACAGGTGACAGCTGAGGCTCAAAAAGATTAAGTCTCCCTCTGAGATCCCACAGAATCGAGTAAGGATAAACAAACAAACAAACACCCAACATGGTGCCTCAAACATAAAACTCCCGAAAGACAATGCTCATCAGGGGAAGGGACTGGTAGGAATGCCCATAAGAGGCAGTTAAGGAAGCTGTTCAACTGCACATACAGGACCGCCTAACACCTGCCCCCAGAAACCTGCCCGCAGCTGGGGGAAAGGCCCACCCCTCCTGCACACTCACCTCCTTTATGAAAGTTTCCATGACTGACCCCACCTGCCCTTATTCACCCCTTTCCTCTCCCAGGACACAGCTAGAGTGCTGTGGGCTTGTCGGTGTGCAGCTTAGTGTCCTTCTGAGGTCTCATGTGGCTCTGCTCTCTCCCCAACTACACCGTGAGCTCCCTGAGAGCATGGACTGGGTCTCCGGTTTCTCATACCCCCCAAAGGCTCGGTACAGAGCTCTGCTCTGCAGAGGGGCCCAGTGAGGGCTGTCGTCTGGCCCTGGCGGTCATGTTTCTAACTGAGTGCTGGACTCCAAAGCCCATGAAGCCACAACTCATGTTACACAAGATGCTGGTTGGCTATAAAATGCAGACTCATTTCAGTCAGCAGGCCCTAATTCTGCTACCCAAGTGACGACTGTTCAGGTCTTTCAAAAGACCTTCAAGTTTTTATAGTGTGACAGAAAGAGACTGCTTCCCCCAAAGAAAGCCCTTTCTAAGTGCAGGAACAGCTTGGAGCAGGTTCAGCTCAGCATAAATGCAAAAAGCCACCCACCGTGGAAACTTACAGCTGTATCCCAAACGTGGGGTAGGGCTATATAATCAGACACATTTTCCATTCGCCATATACTTTCTTCCCACTCTGAGTCAGTTTTATAAAAGGGAAGTTTTAATTTTTGTATTTAAGGGAATAAGGATACATACACACACACACGCACACATCTCCTCTCCTGTACAGCTACTTAAAAGATTTAACAAGTTCACATGGGTATGCAGCCAGGAGAATGGAAACCTCACCATCTTCTTTCCAGCTGAAGCAGCTGGGCTGGCCATTACAAGACACCTTTATATTCATTCTCTCCTTTATATTGTGTTGACAGGGATGATTTTTTGCTGCCAAATCGCATCAAGAGCAGGGCAGAGAGAATCCCAGCCCATGTTCACAATGGACACTTTATGGTCCATGAACTTAGCTGCTTGCTGAGTGCTGTGTGTATAGTCAGGAGTGTCTAGTGATAGCCCCAAGCTTTCTCTGTTCTTCCCTCTGTCAGTAAAAGCCACATAACTAGTTTGACAAGGTTGTGCATTCAAATGGGGAGCCATGGGCCAAATGAATCTACGCTTCCTAGAATGGCTTTCAGTGGGGTCTGGAAAGCTAACCGCCTCTGAGTGAATCA